TGCTCCCAGGCGCTGCCAGCATCCCGGGGGTTACAGCCCCCTGATGTCTCTCACTGAGCTTCAGCCCCATAGTCGCTTTCCATGGGGCTGGGTGAGTCCCCAGCCGAGCAGCCCCAGGGGTCCCTTACTCTGCTGCAGCCTCATGAAGGGAGAAGGTTCAAGGGAGGATACACTAGATACTAAAGAGAAAAAAAACCAAGGGTGGTTTTGAGCCAAGTGTGGTGCTTGGAGCCACGCACGGCTCTTGCGTGACCCCTTGTGTCGGTGCTGGCGGAGGGAACAGACGTGGTGAGGGACACGGTACCCAGGGGCGTGCTGTGCCCGTGCAGACACGGGGTTCTGTGCACCCACGGCTACCTCCTGCTGTGTTTGTGTGCTTTACACTGTGTTTGTGTGCTTTACACGTGAGGGGTGATGACAGGTGAAAATGAAATGCCGATGTGTAGTGGAGCTGGGCAGCCCTTGCCCCTGTGTGGGGTTCCCTGCTGTCAGGACTTCTCCTGGAGGCACCAGGGTCTCCAAAGTCGGTGTGGTATTCCTGACAGGACAGCACCACCCTGGCATTGATGCCACTAATCCAGAATGTGTTCTTTGTACCTCATAAAGATGTGTTTGATGCACATCTCCTGGGTCTGGGGAGGAGGATGAGCAGGAGGAACTGTGCCTACGACCATGTGGCTGTGGTCAGGCAGCACCTCAGCGGCTCAGTGCTGGATGAGGAGCTCCACCAAATGGAGCTTAAATTGAGTGGCCAAAAGTAGACGTCCAGCCCCAGCTCGGTCTGGAACTGGGGATAAAACCCCTCTGTGCCAGGAGCCGGCCTATCCCCGCTCTGCGTTTCGTTAGGAAGAGCAGGACTCGTTACCTGTGCTGAGATTTCCAGCCCTGCTGCGCCTTGTCTGAGCGATGTCACGTGGGCTATTTCTGGAGGAAATTTTTATTAAAAAGAAAGCTGTTTTTTATGTCTTTATCCTGCCTGGCCTGGGCGGGATGGGGGATTTTCAGCCCCCGGGGCGGCTGGATGGGGGGAGCTCCATCAGCATCTCTCGGGGTCTGGCCCGGCCCCACAGGCCTCCAGGGGGCACCAGGCACCGGCAGATTAAAACCGCAATTAAAAGCTGCTTTGATTGAGCTGGTTGTGGTCAGCACAAGCAGCTGTGCCTCGCTGGGCACCAACATCCTCCTGCTCCGATGCAGTTTGGGCTGGAAGCCGGGGTCTTTGGGCAATGTGGCTCTGGGGGGATTTGGGCTCCTGGCCCTGGGCTGCTGGTGGCCCCGTGGGTCACGAGGCCGGTCTCTGTCACTGGTGGGAGTTACTGGCAGCTTCGTTCTAATGGTTTGCGAAGAGGAAGGGCTCTTTATTATGTGTATAGCTCTAAAATAATTGTCTATGTACATAGTTTTACATATATATACACAGATATATCGAAAAGTTTTATCTATCACCATAATCTACGTTATAGACCTCAACCAGATTATTTTATAGATTTATGCATTATATTAAAACGCTGATAAATATGCTATATTAATTAAAACATATATTCTCTGTGTAAGACATACTATATATTTAAATCCAGACTTTTATGTATCAGTGATGACTATTTATATATGCATCTTTCTAGAAAAAAATTTAAAACCCTGTGAATTCTATTATATATGCTATATGAAAATACCATATTAAATTTCTATATGGGTTGGTCAATATTGAGAGAGGGAGTGTGAGCACATGCATCTGTGTGTGTCTGTGCGTATATTATAACTGCTGTACTTTGAGCACAGTATGTACTGTATATTAAAACCTGACCTTTGTAGCAATAAAATATACAATTACTGATACATAAATACAAAACTAAATTATTAAATTCCACTAAATAAGCTGTATGAAAATATAATTGCATTGATGTCTGTGTGTACAGCAGTGTTTACATACACAGAGCTATAGGCAGATAAACACACTTATGATTGTGAGAGTGCACATATATGATGTGTAGCATGACAAATATTGTGCAAAATATTTATATTTATCGTAATTTATCGTATATAATACCGTAATCGATATTATTTATCGTAAAAGACCTTTATAACAATAAAATCTATCTTATATTTATTTTAAAAGTTTATTAAGCAATAAATGCTGATAAATGTACTATATGAAATATAAGTATTAATTTTTTAACTATATAGTCATAGAAAAAGGGCAGCAATATGAGTGTGTGAAGACACAGTGGGGAGGGAGGGGGTGGGTATGTGGGGGTGTCTTACAGCAACTATATTTTGTGCCTAAAATATAACATATAAAGTAAAAGCAGACCTTTATAGCAATCAACAATGATGTGTATGCATGTGTGAAAAAAATATCTAAAGCCATATTAATTAAGTAAATCCTGCTAAATATGTGATCTAAAAGTATACAGTGTTTATATAGATATACAGATACATGGAGTTACATATGCAGAAACACAGGGAGAGGGAGGGAGATGGTGCATACATGCATATGTGTATTGAAACTTTGTGTCTCCTATATATTAAAAACCAGACCTCTGTATTTTAAAAACTTCATATATTTACAAATAAAAATATAAAACTAGCTTTAAAAATTAATTCTGCTGAATATGGTATATCAAATATAATTTTAAAGCTTTTTTCTGTATACACATTTTTGTTTGTGTAAGCTTATAAAAATTTATCTTTTTTTAATATATATTTTTATATATATATAAAACTAGTAAGTTTGTGCGTGTATAAACACACAGTGGAGGGGGAGGGAGCGCGTGCATGTATCTGTGTTACTAAAACATATTTTGTGCATTTTATATTTGTATACATACACGCTGTGTTAAAATCAAGCCCTGTGTGTGTGTGTGTGTGTGTGCTCTGAGGGCAGGGAGAGAGGAGTGTGCACACATGTCTGTGTGTGACATCACATATATTTCCTGCATAATATATAACATGCTTATATTGAAAACAGTTCTTTATATAAATTAAATCTACTATATATATAAAAAGTACTGTATTAAATTCTGCTAAATATGCTGTATGAAAATGCAATTATTTAATTTCTAGATACAGAGTGAAAAGAACATGTATGCTTGACAGTGTGTGCAGGTGTGTACTGTAACAAATACTACTATGTGCATAATACATAACATATATATTAAAACCAGACTTTTGTACCAATGACCTCTCTGTACATACACATCTACACATATTTTAATGACTAACTTGTATAAAGTGATGCTGTTTTTCTCTCGCTCTCTAACTGTATGTATTGCATACAAACAGTATGTGTAAAAGCATGTAGTATCTGCTGTGTCTTCTATACAAAATTTTAAGTCTAATGACAATTAAAAGTAACGAATGATTTTGTAAACTAGAATAAAATTACTCCTTAATATACAGAATTTTTATGGATGTTTTACTGTCTGTGCACTGTAAATGATCGCAGCGCACGATAAATAAAGTGTATACAAAAAGTGTATATAAATATGTATGTGTGTAAATTATCTAATTGGTGTAGACTAATTTTAATACTTAGATATTATTATATATAAGTAAAATACTTTATGAAAATATAAAATAGTTCTAAATATGCTACACTTAGAAATGTATATTTTTATATTCTGAGTCTATCTCTATAATATAATATTTTATATTATAGATGTGGTGTTGGGGGATATGGTGTAGGGGAGAACTTTGCAGAGTAGGGTTGATGGTTGGACTTGATGATCCCATGGGTCTTTTCCAACCTGAAGGATTCTATGGTTTATTCTGTGGTCTATTATCTAAGGTAAGTACCCCTTGGGTATGGGTATACTCAGGTAGTGACTCTCGCAGCTGGGCTGGGACCTGGCAGCAGCTGGGGGGACATTTGCACCCCAGGTACCGGGGGGGTCCCCATGGTGTGACACAGCCCAGGCTGGGGGCTACGGGCACTCACAGCCAGCCTGCGGGGGAGAAAAATAAAAATACACCCTCCCCAAAGCCCCCTGAGACAGCAAAGCAAGCACACCGGTGAGAGAAGAAAAATTTAAAAGTTTATTAAACATTAAGAATAACAGACAAAAAAAAAAAAAAAAAAAAA